TGAATTCTCTCTTTATCCTCGGAGTTTTAAATTACGTTTAGAAACGTAGTTAAAAATAGAATACGGATCCATTCTGTAATCCGACCGAACGAATCCTAACTTACGAATATAAACGAAAATAACAGCAACAAAAGAAAACAACGAAACCATAAAGAGCTTACGACATATACAGTTCATGTTGCTGATACACAGCTTGTATTAGAAATCACATTAATCACAGTGCTTAGGTAATTTGCGACATAGGATCACAAATGTAAGATGAATAATTTTTGCATAATTCAATTTTGATTAGTCGCAAAGGATATATTATATCATGATTGCAATCTGCTTTGATTTGAAACCTAATATCACAACGACTTTTGGGCACTTGTTTTCGTAAAAAAAATCATACCTTTTTATATTGATTTCTTTCATTTTTCGTAATCGCAATATCTTGATCTGTTGCAGCAAATTGATTTAAATATAAGAATACATAAGAATACGGCTTTTTAATTCACTGTGGCAAGAAGAAAATGTATTATGAATAATTGATTTGCGCATTTAACAAACCCTTCATCAGGATATCTGCATTTTTTACGCTCCGTCACTTGTACGCAGTCACGCAGTGTCAAAAAGACGAATAAACAAATGTAAGAGTAATTATGCAAAATAATTCCTTTATTACTTCACAAAAACAACAAAAGACTAAACAAGAAACAAGTTTATGGGGAAAACACTACTCAAGAGTTGTGGAACACATTTGTAAAAATGCATTGTGATTAATGCCATTGTTTACTTCTTTTCCTTCTTTTTGTGTCCTTTGGGGGAAATGTGATTGATCTCAAGCAGTGGTTCCCAAACTAAAGTCAGCCACGTACCCCTAGAAGATTCACCACCCTTGTATATCTTAAAATGCTATTGAGTCTTGCAAAACTAACCAGATCCTAAAATAAGATAAATCCTTTAAACAGATATAACAGAAAAATAAAGTCTTAAAAGTACCCCGGAGAAATTTTTTTCCCGTCTTCTAAAGGGTATAAGCACATCAATTTGGGAACCTCTGGTCTGAAGGCTTTCAGAGGACGGCCAGAACAAAGACTTTGGCTGCCTACGTACACTGTGCTATACTGACGAAGAACTATTACATCATTAATTAATTCACCCCATTGTTATTTGCAATGCCGTTTGGATTTGTTTGGAATTTCTTAATAATAGAATTAAGACGAGGAACTTTGCAGTGCGTACAACATGAGTTATATTATTTAGTTCTATTCACATTACACAATTATGGGGTCTGTTCTATGTTTTTTTTTCAGAATCTCACTTGTACAGAGCGATATAGAATAATAGTTTTGCTACAGAGGAATCTCTTCAGTAGGTATAGATCTAAAATAAATATCCGTGTGGAAAAATAACTCTTTTCAGTATTCCCTTTTTTGCAATATGTAAATATAATACATATAACATGTTTACATTGTACATTATGAATACACAACTACTTGCTATGCGACGTGTTAACATGATGATATACTATAAATACACAGCTATTTATGCAGATCACTGTATGAATGTTTAATTGTGTAAAGCGACATCACCATTTTCATTGATGGTCGTTATTCCTAAACTAATAGATAAAAATGTGTTTATTTCTAAAACACATTTGAACACATAGCATTCATTTGCATTCACAGAACGTAGAGAACAGTGTCCAGACGAACAATTACAACGAAATCCCAGGTGAACTGAATTCCATTCATTGCTTAATCTCAATATGACTACTCTTTATATGGGAGACTTATAATGAACAGGAAGGCAATTGAAAATATATCAATTTTACAGCCACATTTTCTAACATACCCTTCAAAAAGCTTATAAAGAAAATAACAGGATTATAAAGCCATTAACAGGATGTTTACCAGTACTTTCTTATCATTATTAACTATATGTATTATTTAATCCATATTGGTAAACGAAAGGGCAAATCATGTACTTTAATATCCTTTAAGAAAAGTCGATCCAATTCAGTTATTCTCTCATAAGTATTTAAGAACCTTGGGCTCTTTCACTGTCTTTTCCTCTTTCAAACATTTTACTTAGTTTATATAATATATGTACCTATCTTCTAAATTTGAGAAAAAGTCACTGGCTTATACAGGAACCACACAAAAGCATCATGACTACATCCTCTTCTCAGTAACTGCCAAAAAACAATTACTTATGGCTGCCCCATTTGTCGTGTACCACAGTTCATCTGCAACTTTATTAATTTGTAAGTGCATGATTTCTCGATTATATCTTTTTGTGTTGTTTGGTCTTAGAGAGGACCCAAATCAGGGCGAAACCTGATCAATCATAACTCTTCCCTTCTCTCTCGTTCTCTCATCTCCCTCGCCTCTCTCACTTCCTTCTTTCACTTCTCCGCCTTCTTTAGTGGTGCGTTCTTTGATCCCGTGAGGTTTAGCCTGCGTGACTGCGCCTCCTTAGGCCTCGTTGAGCCTCATCTGCTCGGGGTCGCCGGGCTTGGGTTTGGGCCTCACCCACGGCTGCTCATCGCCCGACCCGAAGATCGAGAAGAACACGGCCTCCAGCCCGAAGATGCCCAGCGTGATGAAGAAGATGACCCGCCAGGCCTCCACGGTTTGCTGCAAGAGAGGCCGGGGTCAGAGGGAAAGGCTCGGGTTCTAAGTGCGCGTCCGAATGGCGAGGCACTGGGCGTCAAGGGATAGTGGGTGGACGGATTGGTGTTGGAGGAGGCACGCATACGGATGAGGATGTCTGTGAATGTCTGTCTGTGTGTGCTTTGCTGTGTCTAGGTGTGTGTGTGTTTGTATTTATACGCTTGTGTATGTGTGTTTGTGCGCGTGTGTTATTGTGTGTGCGTGTTTTGCGGGTTATGTGTGTGTGTGAGTTTGTGCACGTTTATTTGTGTGTATATGTGTTTGTGCGTGTGTGTGTGTGTGATTCTGTATGGGCTGTGTTTGTGCAGAAATGGGGGGGGCGGAAATGTATGTGTATCTATACAGGTCTCTATGAGTAGTTCAAAAAAGTTGAGTTACCCCTGCTATGTCAGTTTTCTCTAGTAAACCTTCGTTTTCTTTAATAAGTTGAAACGTTGACAAACTACAGTAAATACTACGTATTCTTATTCTCTGAATATACTTCCACATCAGCTCACCAATTGATCGCAAATAAATGACGTAACAAATGTAAAAGAAACTTACGTTGCCGTGGGTCATGTATCCCACAAAGGAAGGGACGACGATGCCAGGGATGGTGGCAAAGGTGTTCGAGATGCCCATGAGCGTCCCGGCGAAGGGCGGGGCGATGTCAATGTGGTTGGAGAGGAAGCCGGAATACATCCCGCCGATGAACATGGTGCCCAGGGTGAGCAGGGCCACCGCCAGGTCCGTGTTGCAGCCCACGTATGTCACGGAAATCAGGCAGATGGCAGGCGGGATGGAGGCTGCAGGGCGAGTGAAGTGGATTAGTGACGGCGGTCTTACGACGAGACGTGTGGTGGGACTTTGGTGCTCTCTGATAACGCTAATGTCACCGAAGTCTGCTGACTATCGGAGCGTATTCTTTTGAAACGCCAAATCATTATCGGGTACATTGTGTGAATATCGTCCGGCGTTATGAAAATTCTGATTTTAAATTTCCATGTCATAAATATGCCGTAACCAATGACACTTCCGTGTTATACTTGCGTCACTTACCAACGAAAGTCGAGAACTTTCGAGCAAAAGTTGTAGTGATGAGGTTCTTTGAGCGCAGCAAGTCCAGGACGTTAGCGTTGATCATAGTAAAGATCCACATGCACAAGAACGGTACAGCTGATAGCCCTGCGTTCTGTTGAAAATAGAGAGGTCAATGCATAAACAAATTCTTCCGTGTGATAACGACACAGTTAATAGCCTGCGTGCTCTGACAAGTATAAAGAATAAATAATATAATTAACTGCATCGTATGCTTGAATGATGCCTACTGTTAGAATCAGTTACATCAAAACGTATTGATATGATCATTATCGATTCTATACATTATAAATATCGTCCCTGGAAATATTCCGATTGGATTACACATACCAAAGGAAAGAAAGCGTAATGGCTTAATTAAAGATTGTTAGCGATAGCAGAAAATCCCTACACTCATAATAGGTTTACTGAAAAAGAGATAACAGGAGAATTTCGAGGAAATTGCTTCATCATCGATTTAAGAAATGTATTTCGCGCATTTCATGTTTTTTCTGCAGTTCCGTCAATATGGTTAAGCGTTTATAAAACCATCCATCAACACCAATCAAACTATCAGAGCCTCGACTTTAACTTACAGCCTTGATATCAAATTTAAGAATGTAGCGCATGTAGGTTGGCAGCTTGACGAGAAGCATGTACCAGCCCCAGTTGCTGCAGGTGTGGGCGACGATGATGGCCCACACGGGCATGGAGGTCCACACGCTCTTCCACGGGATTGGTGGTTTCTGCAAAATTAGAGTTTTGTATTTCTTTCTTGTGAGGGCATTTGTATATGGCGTATATATATATATATATATATATATATATATAATATATATATATATATATATATATATATATATATATATATATATATATATATATATATATGTGTGTGTGTGTGTGTGTACTTGCCCATGGGCGTTCGGATGTGTATATGCGGCTAAAAGTATTCATAAAGACACATTAACTTGAAAAGTATCCCTGCCATCACACATGATACTATCCATTGCAAAAGCAACAAATAACCAGAGGGAAAATTACCTCAGACTTGGAAGTAGTACCAATGGATTCCTCAATGAAGCGTCTTTCGGCCCGCGAGATCCTTGGGTGTTTGGCCGGGGAATCATAGACGAATATCAGCCAAAGAATGTACCTGAAGGAAGAGCGAGATCGCAGCTAAAGAACGTTCCATCCAAAATCACAACCTGTTTGCTTCATCTGCCTAACAATGCCCTTTCTATCTGCAGTTCACCAGCATAGTCAATTCCAGAACCGTAACGGTGAACTAATACTGACAAATGTACATTGCGACAAGTGCAGAAAACAGCATGAAGAAGAAATATATTCACAATACAAGAGATGTATTTAGTCGGTTTCGGCTATCTTCGTTAGATACAGTCAAAACCGGACAAATACGTAACATACTGACTAACAGTCAACAGAACGCTCTTCACAAAACTGCACGCGCAGTATCACGCGCTCCACCCCAAAGGCTTACCACAAGAGAGACAGTCCACCTTGAATGTAGAAGACAGATTCCCAACCGAGTTCTGAGGCAAGGAGACCGGAGAAGGGCATGCAGACCAGCGTGCCCAAAGTCATGCCTGGAATAACAAGATTTCGATATACTAAAAGGAGAAGGATATAAAACCATTTTGAATTTCAAGAGATCTTTAGTTCAACGGTGGAATACCATCGCGTTTGTGTACGTGTATCTCACCGGCATAAACAGTAGAAGCGATTTTGCTCCTTTCCTGAGGCGGTGCCCAGCTGGCGATAAGAACGTGCATCCCCGGAAGCGTTACACCCTGGAAGGAATTAAATTTTAAAAATCGATCAGACTGGCAATGAATAAATGAAGCCAGAAGTATATGAAAAACAAAATTAAATCCTCAGAATTCCAAACTATCCATACCTACCTAACCAGTACTCGTAGCGAACAACAAGCGGTTACTCACCCCAGCAATACCCATGACTATCCTGAGGGCGACCAGGACAATGTACGAGGCTTTGGAGGCGATGGGGCACAGCAGGGCGCACAGGGCATTCAGAAGGGCCCCGACGCCGAACACGTGCTTTGCGCTGAACTTCTCGGCGAACCAACCGCCAGGAACCTACAGGGGGAAAAAACGAAGAAAAATAAATTACCCTAAACTTCCTTAAAAATGTAACATGGCTGTCTAGCACTGTGATATATTACACCGTTTCGTTAATGTGACACAATTTTCTTTTTGAAGCTGTCTTTTTTCTTTTCTTTCACATCTTATCTGCAATTTCTTTCTCTCCTTCTTTATCATTCTCTTTCTTTTCCTCCTGCTCCTCCTTCGCTTTCTCCTTCCCTTTCCACATCCTCTGCCCCACCTCTTCCACTCCCCTCCCTTCCCCTTCCCCTCCATCCCCTTCTCTTCCCCCTTCCCTTCCTCCCCTTCTTCCCCATCTCTTTTTTCGGCTCCTTCTTCTCCCTTTTCTTCTTTTCCTTTTTAATTCTGTTAATATTTCTCCTCCTCCTTCTTCTCTTTCTCCCTCTTCTACTTTTCCTTCTCCTCCTTCACCTCCTCATTCCTTTTCTCCTTCTCCTTCTCTTCCTCTGCCTCCTACGCCTTCTCCTCTGTTTCAGTCGCATACCTTCAAATTACTCATAGAAGAGAAAAATAAATGTGACTAAACATGGCTTCGAGGGACAATTACGAAAACAAAACACGACAGCTTTCAGCGTCCTAGCCATAAATTCGAGAAATCGGAATAGATTTCCCACTGAGGAATCTGTCAAGGGCAAGGTTTATGACACTGGCTCTATGTGTCACGGAACTTGGCAATGGCTAATCTCGACACCTGAAGTTTTCACACACAAACACTGACTTTTCTTTCGTTTTCTTAGCTTTTTCCGCATTCCTTTTTGCGTCTCCAAGGTTACCTTGTGAATGAATTATAGCCATATTATATAGTTGCCTGTGTGCGGAAGATATATAAAGATGAATATTGGCAATACGAGTAAGAATTAATTTGTTTCACTGTAGTTAATGGAATATGGTATCGCTTCGCAAGAGTATGATGACGGTAATCACTTTCACCAGCATTCTCGGAAAAAATCTCAAGTCAGTGTCAGTGTCACAGATAACAGGCAACGGCATCATCGCCCTCAGTCTGCAATCACAAAAATCTGACAAAATCCTTATCGCATAGAATGTCTTATCGCCACAGCGATCTCCTCTTTCCCTTCCTCCTTTTCCTTTTCTCCTCCTTTCAACACTCCCCTCTCTCCTTTCCTCCCTCCCCTCCCCATAATCTTTCCCCTCCTCCTCCTCCTCTCTCCTTTCTCCCTTTCCCTACCCCTCTACCACTACCTCCATCTTTCCACTTTCTTCCTTCCCTTCTTCCCCCTCCTCCTCCTCCACCCCTCCTCTTTCCTCCTTCCCTCTCCCTCTCCCCATTCTTTCTTCCCCCTTCCCCTCCCCTCCCCTCTCCCCTGCCCCCACCCGTTCCCTTTCTTCCTCCCCCCCCTCTCCCCCTGCCTCCACCCGTTCCCTTTCTTCCTCCCCCCCTCTCCCCTGCCTCCACCCGTTCCCTTTCTTCCTCCCCCTCCTCCCCGGCCTCCACCCGTTCCCTTTCTTCCTCCCCCCCCCCTCTTCCCCTGCCACCACCAGACCTATTTCCTCCTTCCCCTCCCCCTCCCCCCCTGCCTCCCCTTCTTCATTACCTGGGTGAAGATGTAGCCGTAGAAGTAAGCCGCAAGAATCAGCCCCTGAATGTTGTCATCCCAGGCGAAAGGTCCGTCCTGCGAGGA